GCCTACCATGTTCTATGTTCCAAGAAAACCAGCAGGATTAAGACCCAACACAGTGCCGGTGCCGCAGCTCAGTAGGCTAATCCTCCGCCTTGCGGCGCCAGCACACCGGGTTCTAGTCCCGGTCGGGGCACCGGATTCTGTCCCGGTTGCCCCTCTTCCAGGCCAGCTCTCTGCTGTGGCCAGGGAGTGCAGTGGAGGATGGCCCAAGTGCTTGGGCCCTGCACCCCATGGGAGACCAGGAGAAGCACCTGGCTCCTGCCTTCGGATAGGCGCAGTGCGCCGGCTGCAGCGCGCTGGCCATGGCAGCCATTGGAGGGTGAACCAACGGCAAAGGAAGACCTTTCTCTCTGTCTCTCTCTCTCACTGTCCACTCTGCCTGTGGGGAAAAAAAAAAAACAACACAGAGACCACAGTCAACTTCAGGGACTGGACAGATGTGCCATGGCTGATCATCCTGCAGCTCAGCAAGAACCCTGAACCAGCACTGCCCGCTCCGTGTCCCCCATCAGACTCTGCTGTGTTCTCCTCTCCCACAGCAGTCGGCGCCCAGTCCACACTGGGATATTCTCCCCTAGAGGGGTCTGCTCGTGTTCTCCGAGCTGTTTCACTCCATCTGCTTTGACTTGCTCAACTTGATGGGAAGATACCCAGCCTGGGACTGGCCTTCTCTTTCTGTCCTCCCCTCATGCCTCCCCAGCGACCACCTCTGCCAACAGGTATTTGGCAGCTGCACATCAACCCCTGTGGTTGGCCAGGATGATGCATAAGCATCTTTAGAAGGAAACTCTGGGGCCTTAGAAGCTGTGTTTTTTTTGTTTTTTTGTTTTTTTTTGTTTTTTTTTAGAGAGTGGACAGTGAGAGAGAGACAGAGAGAAAGGTCTTCCTTTTGCCATTGGTTCACCCCCCCATGGCCGCTGCGGCCGGCGCAGTGTGGCCAGCGCACCGTGTTGATCCGAAGCCAGGAGCCAGGTGCTTCTCCTGGTCTCCCATGGGGTGCAGGGCCCAAGCACTTGGGCCATCCTCCACTGCACTCCCGGGCCATAGCAGAGAGCTGGACAGGAAGAGGAGCAACCGGGACAGATTCCGGCGCCCCGACTGGGACTAGAACCCAGGGTGCCGGCGCCGCAGGCGGAGGATTAACCTATTGAGCCGCGGCGCCGGCTGAAGCTGGGTTTTGAGCCAGACACAACTTTGTCTCCCCAGTTACTCCTGAGTCCTTCCCATGCTACTTGGCAGACACAGAAGGTCACCACATGTATACAGACTAGCATATCAGCAATAACCAAGATAACTAATGGCGAACGTGTATCGAGGCTTTTCCATTTGCCAGGTTTTAGACCAAGTGCTTCACAACCCCCTCCCCCACCAATAGCCCTATGAGAAAGGTGTCATTGTCATCCCACTTTGAGAAAACTGTCGTGCAAAGAAGCCCCAATAACAGCAAAGAAGAGGCACCAAGCACCGGTCCTCTGAAAATCTGGGGAGGCAGTGATGGCGCCCAGCCTCCACTCCTCCAGTGAGTCTGCACAGCTGGCTACATCACCACGTTCTCACACCCCTCAGGAGGAAAGGAGGAAGCCCCGAGTCGAAGGAGAGAACCTCCTCCCCCAAAACAGCCCCTCCACACCCTGCCATCCCACAAATCTGTCTCACCCAGATCCCACTGTTCCTCCAAGATCCCCAATCTCTCCAAAAGCCCCAGGCCAGTATGTGAGGAAATAACACAGACAGAAGCACAACTGGTTTACCCCTGGCAGCATCTATGCTGAAGGTCTGGAGAAATGCATTGCCACATTCACTGAGTGCTTAAATGGGGCAGCCCCTCAATCTAGCAGGGAGCAGGGGAGACCTAAAGAAATACACCCCATGCTGCCAGGGGAGGGAAGAACACCCAGATTTAAACCTCCAACCACTCATTTGTTACTGCCCTACTATTGTAGAGTTCAAGCAAACAGGCTCAGAGAACACGCAGGCAGTCAGAGCTTGGGGATTTGGCTTGGGTTATCATCAGTTAAAAAGGGAAAGAGGCACTGGACAGGTACTCCCCAAAAAAGCTACCTTGGCCATAACCCCACCCTGAAGTCAACCAAACCTCTGAGCTCTTTAAAATCTTTCCTGCTTCCACCATTGAACTCCCACTATGCTTCATCCACTGAAACACTGAGTTCAAGATTCTTGCAAAGCCTAAAATAACGATGCACTCAATGGCTGACTCAAAAATAGTCTGGAATCCCCCAAGATAAAGGACCCTAGAAGGCGAGGTCTGATTACAATCACCAAAGTCACTCTCACTGCCAGAGTCTATGGAAATTCCTCACTCATTCAGCTGCACCTCTTAAGGTTTCATTCACTTCCCTGGTAACAAGCCTGGGGTCAATTTACCAAGCCTAGCAGAGCAGCATCCGCAGTCTCCTCGGTGGCGTCAAGAGTGAGTAGCAGCCCAGTTTTCTCAGGTAAGCAATGTGTGTCCATAAAAACTTGTGATGCCCGAAACAGGGAGTGGGAGAACGACAAACCCAAGAGGACACAGAGGTCGCCGTTGGCAAAGGTGGAAGCCCAGAAAACGCCCTTCCCAACCCAAATGAACTTTACCACTATGTCAACAGAACGGCAGGAGCTGCTAAGCAAGCTCATCACTGCTTCTCTTCGAGCGGGCGTCCAACTTAGCCCAACCCAACACGCCCAGGGTCATGGGCATCCAACAGGTGGCGTGCATTTCTACAACCACGCTGTAGGTTTTGCCCACAGCAGAGGTAGCCAAGTCCCACGGTGACATCATGCGACAAAGCAGCCAGATGAAAAGAAATCTTATTGACTCCAGCCTCAAACTGCCATGGGAAAGACCGTGAAGTTCCCCCAGAGATAGAACTAGTCTCCTTCCATCTTCCAGGCAGGAAGCAAGGTTTTGTTTGCACAGACTTTGGCTTCTTTTTGTCTTGCTTTCGTGAGCATCGTATTAAACATTCTGCCGGGGCATGAACACCTCTCGTCTGACGCTCTGGAGGTAGATGTTTGAACTATCAAAGGTGAACTAGCCAATCTTCAAATGCAGCAAACAATCTAAACACACTTGGGTGGGGAAGGATCATGAGCAAATCAGGTCAACAAATATTTACCCAGTGCCTGGGCCTGAGAAGCTGAGAAGCCCCTGTCAGAGAGCTCCCTCAACTGAGCTCTCTGTGAGAAGCAGAAAGATGCAATTAGAGTCTTCCCAAAAAATAAGCAATTAATCACACACTGCCTCTGATTAATTGCAGTGCCCAAAATCCTCCACATCACTCTCCCTGTGCCCCTGAAATCTAACCTCCACCCCCACCCCCCAGCCCTCACTGGCTGTGCCGGTCACTGGCACCTAAGCGAGTGCCCATTCTGACCCTGCTGGCTCAGTCCTAACCAGGACCGGACTCCCCATGCAGCTCCATCTTGTCTGATCTGTGACCTTCAGTGTGCTGCGTGTGTCAAGGTTACGCTGCCCACTAACCAACCATGCATCCCTCAGCATCGGGCCTCCACCTCCTTCCACCCGCTCTCGTGCTAGTGCACAACCCCCCAGCCCTGCTGGGCCATCTCCAGTGCCTCCCATGGCACATTCAACAGCTACTTAGCTTTCTGCCTCTCCTGCAGCCATCCAGACTGCTTTGGGCTCTTAGGGCAAATCTGCCCCAGAGGCACATCCAGCACCACCAAAATCCAACCTGTCTTGTAAACCCAGACTGCAGGCAAAGGAGAAAAGCAAGACTACCTCACCATCAAAACCCCTCTCACATCTGATCACAGCCGACAGTCCCATCTCATATCAAATATCCAGTTCCCCACAACGATCTGGAACCTTTTCAGGAACATGAGTGTCAAAACAGCACCCATGGGGAGACACCATCCAGGAACCAAGGAGACATCCCTTCAAATCCACGTCTAAGCTCCAAGCACACCAGCTAGGGAACGCAAGCTGTCAAGGAGATCAAATGCTGCTGTCTCCTAAGTGGGCAGCAAGTAAGCACTGAATGCTAACCGCAAGAGCTGCAAAGTGAGGCAGCCAGGCCGGCGGGGGGATGAGACCTTCCTGGGGAACTTGCTCTGCTGAAACCAGAATGTCACCGTACCCTGCCGGAAGCGAAGCAATACCCTGAGCTCCCAATCCGTACAGGCTGCTGCATTTTACAGAAATTTCAAGGGGCTGGCGGCCAGGACCCTCCAATCCCAAGCGCCGCCTGTGCTAATGCATTGTTCAATAGCTTTTAGGAGAATGCAGGGAGACCCACCAGGTCAGGAGGCTCAGAGGGACGTCTCCATTTCCACGTTCAGTCTCCCGGTTTGCTGGTCTGTTTGCTTCCTGCGAAGCCCAGTTTCTGTGAATCAGTGACTCGCCCCGGCTACATCACACTCCCGCCTGGCGGCTCACGGCAGCGGGGCTCAGGGAGGCTCGGCTGCCAGATCCCTGATCTTGCAGCATACTTGGAGAGCAGCCGAGCTCATCTCTGAGAGCTCTGCTTCAGCCACTTGCAGCTCAGTTAAACCCATCGGGAGACCTTGAGCTTATGAGACACGGGGTTTTCCAGATTACCTCCTTCCCCCACCCCGGGCTCTCTGATACAGCCAAGATAGCAACCATCCACCCACCTGAGACAGACACACCGAAGGATACACAGATGGACAGCTCGTCTTAATTCCTGCCCCCTTCTCCTTCCACCCAGGAGCTGCACTGCTAGAAATCTCCCACTATCTCCTCTCCTCTAAAGAAGAGCAAAGACGGAAAAACTAACCCAAAGTACCCAGTCGACAATGACAATGCGGTGGGCAGGAACAGGTACCCTACACATCACAGAATGAGAATACCGACAGCCGCCTGCACCGAAGCCCAAACAGGTAGCCGGCTTTCCAAATGCAGGTTCCCCTGCACTCTCCCCACCTCCAGGCGCGGCCAGCAGCCACCACCGCCAGCTTCGGCTCCTTATGCCTTTGCCTCAATGCAGGGCCCTTGAAAAAGTCTGATTTCCACTTACTCAGATCTACCAAGAATCCCCAGCGCCTTGCTGTACGCAAACCCCACGAACGGCAGTTCTTCGCCCGAGAAACCTGAGGGGCTCAGCTGGCACGGAGACGAGGAAGCCCACGAATTCTTCTCTGGTTCATCAAAATTGGAGGTGTCATCGTCAGACTGGAGGGTGGGAACGAAGGGGGGTGGAGCTGGTTGAAGAAAAACAAGAGATGGGGGAGAGAAAATTCAGAGGGCTCCAACAGTGTTGCGGAGACAGCGTCTTACTCCTCCGGCGCTGGCGACAGCACTGCAGCGCCTGCTTTCAATCCGGCTCCTCCTCGCTCAGGCAGACCCAGCCTGGGCTCCTACAGCAACAAGAGATTAACCCCTTCCCTGCCAACATGGCCACCAACCCGCAGACAGAACGCCGTCCTGGCCGAGGTAAACTGAAGCATCAACTCAAACAGGTCACTAGCTGCACCCAGAGAACTTGGGCAACTCGCTGGAGCGAGCCCCCTCGCTGCGGATCTTTCCGGAAGACTTCCTGGGTGCAGCCGCGGGCTACTCCGGGATGCCGGACGACCTGCGCCTATTTGCTCCCTCTCCCAGCCAGGTGTACATCACTGGCAATCACTGCTGCCTAACTGAGATGGAACTTCTACCTCTTGCGCCTCAACGGGACTGGGAGGAAGAGCGGCGCGGGCCGGGGTGGCTCTGCAACTCGGGTCTGGGTGGCCCTGCAGTCTGGTTCCTTAGCCTCCGGACGCGACCACTCGGGGACCTGAGCCCCACTTCGCTGCGTCCCCTGGTCCCGCTGCCCGGCGCCGTAGCGCCCCCGGCCGCCGCAGTTTCGTAGGCACGAGGAGGCTCCGGGCGGGTCAAGTTCCTGCAGGAGATTTACAGCTCTCCTGCGCGCGCCGGCCGGAACGCAGGGGCGCACAACTGCGGCACGCTTCCTACCTCGCTAGGGCAGCTCTCCCGGCGGGGGGCGCCTCACATCCTCTCCGCTTCCCGCCGACCCACTGAGCTCTCCCGGCCAGGGCGGTGGACACTGGCCCATCCGTCACCAGGACGCGGCCCGTCGCGGGGGGCTCCCGGGGGCGTCTCCGGCCAGAAGCGTTACCATGGCTGCGGGCCGAGGCGTCCGGGCGCGCTGGCCAGGGCGAGTGGGCGAGCCGAGCATCACATCCCCCGCAGTGCAGGCTGCCTGCTCCCGGCTCGGCTCGGCCTCGCGCTTGGGCACCGCGCGCGCTCCGGCTGTAACCCCACCTGGCTGGGGCTGCGTGGCAGGGGCCGGTGCCGATCTGAGTGACAGAGCAGCATGAGTCACGGCCCGCCAGGGCTCGCTAGAGCTCCCCCTAGGACACTTGTCACAGCCCTCGGCGGCCCGCACTTCTTGCTTAACTCCTCGTGTTCTGGACGAGGCTGGGTGCCACATATGAGCAGCAGTCTGTTTTCTGCTTACAGACTCAAAAGAATCTGGCTGTTTGCAAAGTTCCCCGATGACAACAGCATCCCGGGCGGCGGCGCAGGGAAGGAACCCGAGGAGAGCGAGCCCAGGAATGGGCTCAGAGCCCCAGGTGCACCCAGGTGAGATGGGAGGGCGGAAGAACAAGAGCGCACGCGGAGAACTATTTAGCACCTCCAAGCTCTCTCAAGGGAATTTACATCTACATGCCGCCGAATACTTTACAAATCAGCTGATGCAAAGGAAAATTAGATTGAATCCCATGTGTACTTCCACCAGCACAGGCTCAACCCCAACCCGATTCCAACTCCCTAACACCTTGTTTTTTAAAAAAGAAATATATATATAGTCAGGTTCTGAAAGAAAAGTTTTCCATCCCATAATAAAAAAACTCATCTGGAGACTGAGGAAATTTATGGCGAGCCATGTGCGGCTGATACGAACATGGAAACAGCCGTCAAGGACACACACCCTGGAATCTGAGTTCGAATCTCGGCTCCACCATGAGCCAGCTCTGTGATCCCGGGAGAGTCACTCCAACTCTCTGAGCCTCAGCTTCCACAAGGGACCAACTACCTCCAAGGGCCGCTGAGGGGTTTCAACAGTCTACAAAGTGCTTAGCGCGGCTCTTAGCGTCCGGTGAACACCCCGCAAAGATTAGCGGCTTTCACTGTTACTCTTGCACATGCGAGGCGCAGGTTCACGCCAGCTCTTCCGTTAGGGGAGGAGAGGGAGACCCGGCGAGTGCGTTCTGCCTGAGGCGCACGCGCACAGCACGGCAGACGCGTGTTTGTGCTCGACCTTTCGCTCCTAGGAGCAGTTTAACCCCCTGTCTGCTCTCCACTCACCTCATCTTCAGCAGACTAGAATAGAAACTCCACTTCTGAGTGAGGACTGCGATCCATAGAGAGGTAGGAGCCACCCTCCGTGAAATAACTCTGATTTGAAAGTTCCACCCTATGGAAGAAGGTTCATGTGTACAACCCCGCCACGCTGAAAGCCAGCTTAACCGCTCAGGGTTAGGATAGGAGCCAGAGAACCTTCAAGCTAAAAGGATGGAGAGTCAACGCGAAATGCTCTAGCCGCTAACAGGTGAACTCTTCACCCTCAGATCAAAAGCTGGGGACCTGGACTCCTCCTGACTCCAGCTCCCGCTTCCAGCCAATGCAGACCCTGGGAGGGCCCTGCCGCCCACGTGGGAGGCCTAGATTAAGGCCCCAGTTTCAGCCCAGCTGGTATAGACATTTGAGGCGTGAACCAGCAGATGAGAGCTCACATGTTCTACTTCTTCTCAAATAAATATAGTTTTGGTTTAAAAAAAAAAAAAGGGACCTCTGGACGGGTCATCAGTTAAGCGCAACAGGAAACTCTGAAAAGAAGGGCTTCTGAGGGCTGTGTGTTAGCTGAGGATAAAAGATAAATGCAGGAACCCTGCAGAAAACAGCAAGGATGCTCCCCCCTGTCGGGGCCCTTTCATGCCTAAGAAATGGGGCTGCTAGTGAGAAACTGTCACTGCAGGCAGGGCAGCTACAGCTGTGTGTTCTGTTCAGGACGGGGGAACTGCAGTTCAAGAAATTAACACAAACTGGCCTAGGCTCACTCCAGGTCTGTCTCTCTCTCTCACTCGCTCGCTCGCTCGCTCTCTCTCACACACACACACACACACACACACAAAACAATCCCTATTACAAATGAGTTCACAATAAAAAAATAAAAAGTAGAAACCAACAACCACCTGTAACAAGGAAAAAACAAACCACTCAAGGACAGCGTGAAGGAGCAGCAACAGACACCAGAAATGGAGAGCTAGCCCTCCAAAACCTGCAGATGGAAGATAACCTAATACGGACCATGAGATAAGTTGTATTACCAAGGTAAATAAGTAGCAAATCTAATTGACAAACAAGACACTTTAGAAAACAATCCAGCACATTTAAAAGGAATCAAACAGTACTTATAAAAAGAAAAGAACTGTTGTTGAATGTAGAGTTAAAAACTCACTGGATGTGTTAAATAATAGATTAGGTACAGCTGAAGAGAAACTTAGGGAACTAGCAGTTTGATCCAAGGAAATCATCACATAGATCCATGGTACTCAAAGTGTGATCTGCAGCGGGCAGTATCAGCATTGTCCAGGAGCTGGCCAGAAATGTAAAATCTCAGGCCTGCCCCATACCCACTGGATCAGCACCTGCACTCCAACACAAGCCCCTGGTGACTCATGGGCACACACAGTTCAAGAAGTACTCGTACAGAATCCAACAAGCAGACGGAAAACCTGAGCAGTCAAATGACAAAGACAGACTAAAAAGGTCCAATATTTGTGTAACAGGAGCACCAGGAAGAGTAGAAAACTAGCATAAATATGGATGCAACATTTTAAAAGTATTGTGTGAAACCGCGGCGGCCATTGGAGGGTGAACCAACGGCAAAGGAAGACCTTTCTCTGTCTCTCTGTCTCACTGTCCACTCTGCCTGTCAAAAAATAATAATAATAATAATAATAAATAAATAAATAAAAACTACAAGGTAGGTAACCAGGCCCTATCCTGGAGAGCTAATTTTCCCATTTCTTGTGGCTTATAAAAAAATAGCTCTTTTTTGATTCTCATAAGATGTAAAGTTTGCTCTTTTAGCTTTACAAAAGGTATGAGGTCTATATTGATGGAGGTACCAATGACTCTCCAGTATATAGTATAGTACCAGTCACACAGTAGGTGCACAATAAACATTTTTTGAGCAAATATATAATTAAATGACTAGGAAATGGGTTTTGTAAAAATAGTACCTAGCACGGTACAGGCCACAAAGAAGCTAATTGACGTTTGAATTAAATGAAGAAGCTTTAAAAGTCGAGATTGTTCTGTCTGAAAAATATGTTAATGAGTGTCTATATTAATATTTTCTGATTGAATATTATGAAACCATCAGCTCCCCCCACTGCCATATACCACTCCATTCACTGGGGACAAATAAGTCATATTTTAGGATCTGTTGTTTGTTGTCAAAAGCCACTAAGAAAAACAGGAGAAAAGAAACCTTTCCCTCTGTATTCCTAAGTAAATCAGGCTGTCTGTGGCGATGGCAGGCCACATCCTCTTTCGTGGCAGAGGCTACGAAAGTTGCTTCTTAAAGGGTTTTTTTTTTTCCCAGTTACAAGATAGATGACAGAACAAGGCTTTCAGAAACAAAGAGCTATTTCAGGAGCTATAGTTAATTTCTTGTCTATAAATTCTCTTTCTTTCTCCTTTTTTAAAAATCCTGACATTCATGGAAAGCTTTGGGGGAAAAATTTATCATCTTCAAAATATTTTTTTAAAAAAAGAAAAACCAATTTTGTCCTCTTGACGCTGCTTCCTTCAAACATGTTCCACGGAGCAACAGTTACCCCATTCTCACCTCTAATTTTTCAGCATGCCAGATAAGCATTCATATTAAAAACAGAAAAGATTCTCCCACATGGGTGCAGTGTTTACTGTATGCTTTCCTCACGGAACACAATTTCCATGAGGATAGAGACTCTTGTGTTCCCCACCACATACCTAACACCTAGAATGCTACCTGGCTGACGTCATTCAATGTCTAATACCTGTCTGTTAAAGGAATGGATGAGGCTGGCGCCGCGGCTCACTAGGCTAATCCTCCGCCTTGCGGCGCCGGCACTCGGGGTTCTAGTCCCGGTCGGGGCACCGGATTCTGTCCCGGTTGCCCCTCTTCCAGGCCAGCTCTCTGCTGTGGCCA